TAGCCTGGGGCAGGGCAGCCAGCATCACTTTCTTAAGCTCTGAAGTCCTCAGGTCTGGAAGAGGTAAAGCAGACAGGGGCCTTTCTACCCCAAACCCTGGGCCTGCCGAGGGCTGTGAGCAGAGTGGGCCTCTGATCCCGCCTGTCCGCTGGCCACGCTGACCTTCCCTCAAACTCAGACGCTCTCTCTGGGGCATTACAGGGACAGGAGGCCCAGGAGCAGATCCAGGTCCTGCTGGCCCGTAAGACCATGGTACTCTTGACGGGGAGGAATGACCCAGATTGAGAGGATCTCCTTCTGTGCTTCCTCAGACCAGCTGTGGAAGTTGTTGCCTCAAGGTGTTTGCGCTGGTTTTCTCTTCCTAGAGTCACTTTTCCTCCCCAGATCTCTGCCTGGTTCACTCCTCACTTCCTTCACGTTTTTGCTTAACTTTTCCATCTTTGTAACGATTCTACAGAAAATCGCACACCACCCTCATTCTGCCTGCCCCTCTGTCTCCTCGCCCTGCTTTATCTCCTCCACGCCCTTCAGAACTGCCCGATGTCGAGGTCTGAACTCCCTGGTTGCCTCCTGTAGGATGGAAGGGCCACGCACGCACGTGGAGCTTTGCCTCTCTGATTCACCCCGTGTCCCCGGCACCCAGCCCAGGGCCTGGGGAGGAGGCCCTCCCAAAGCCGTGAAGTTCCTTACAGATCAACCAAGCCAGGAAAACCAAACAAACCTAGCAAGGCGTAGTGTCAAAATCCATGTCCGTGACAGTGGGTCACAAAGTGGTTTTCCTCACTGTGGATGTCTGAGACCTTGATTGCACTGCCTAGAACTGAACCAAGTTTTAGATCATTCTTCCATTTATGATGAATAATTTTGCCTTTGAATTTGATTATATTTTAAATCGTACTTTGGGAATTGGACACTGAATTCTAAAAAGACATTAAACAATACCCTACATGCAGTTTTTGAGCCTGTTTTCAAAGAGAAGACATTTCCTTCTCTGCTAAAGGCTCCCCATCCTTATCAGCTCTAGGGAGAAGCGACACTTGGGCTGAAGGTCATAGATGTTGCCAAAGGGCGGATGAGGGGAAGAGGGTCCTAGAGACTGGTGCTTTAATTCATACTTGCACAAATGCCATAGGCTGGAACTCTAAAGTCACAGGAACTGTCCTCTTAGAGGTATTTTAAGCTTTTGGCTCAGCTCCTTGTAAGGTCTTAGCAGAAGCACGACCTTGGTTTCAGTGGGGAATGATGACGTTCAAGAATCACCCTGTGCTTTTTGGACACATGCTTGTTCCTCAGTTACATGTGCAAAGAGCAGAGAGAGGTCATCTCAGGCATGGATGATGGAAATAACCCTTGGGTTCCGATACGATGCTGGGATCAGACCCTGGAAGGCAACGATGCAAAAGATGAAGTGGGTGACACGGGATTGTTCCTGACCTCACTCATCTCGAAAGCAGCTACCGGCCAGGAAATCCTGTTTACAGTCATGGGAGGAGGGTAGACCACAGCAAAGAGGATCCTGGAACTTCTGAATCCTCTGGAGGATTGTTGCAGTACCTTTCAGGAAAAGGAATGTCCTCTAAGGCAGACCTTGTAAATAACAGGCAGCCACCCTCCCTGCAAATGTTCCCAGCAGGCAGGATACCGTATCCAGGGTTAGGATCACTCAGGTTAAGACTAGCAGTCCTTCCAGGAAGCTTGCTTCCGCCACGGAACCATCTGTGAATCAGAAAGAATGCAGGAAATTTGCAGCAACGCCATAGCATCGTGACAGACTGATTCTACCCTGAGTTCTAAAAGTCACTGTGTCCTACTTGTAAATACACATTTATAAGGAAGAAGTGTACCCAAAGCTGCATTCCTACTTTTAAGAAAATGTGCACATTTTTTACAGTTGGAGTTAATTACAGCAAGTTGAAAGATGCCAAAATGAAATAATTCTCAACAAGGTTGATGAGTAAAACCAAACACCTAGACAAACATAGTTTGCAGCTCTCAGTGGACAAATATTGCCATTTTCTGCAGTAAACATTTATCGGTTGGAATCTCCTACAGTAAACTCACTGCATTGTAGTGTTTCACATAAATAATCCTTGGAACATTGAAAACAAATCTTGCAGTATTATGGATATATTATGGGGGAAATTCCTTGCCCGGTTAGAAAACGGACATAGAATTTTAATTTTATGGTTCTATACACCTCATACTTCTAGATTTGACTTATATTTTCAAGTAAGAGTTTTGCAAGTATTCACTAATCTTTTTTTTGTTTGACTGACGAGATGAAATAAGCCACAACGGGTCTTCTCAACCCACTTGTATGAAAAAATTCTCCTATTCTTTGAAGGTTCTTCATTAGCTACTAATCAAGCCCACGGCTTCTGCTCCAGTTATATATTTCAGCCAAGAATGAGCCGAAGATTCTGGCAGTGACAGAAAATCGAATCTGTGGCTCAACTGAGAAATCACAGGTTCAACAAGCGTCGATGGGAAATGAATTTATTAGGTGGTGAGCTCCACGCCAGAAGCAGTGGGTAAGGCTCTGAGAAATGAAAGAAGCAGTCCTGCCCTTGAGAAGCTTACTTCCAGGGATCAAGACATGATGAATGTCGGAAACTATGCAGGAACATTGCAGGATATCTGCTGTCTGGCTCGCCTGGAGTGGGAAACAGATGCGTCTGGAATGGCAGCCGGTCAGCCAGCATGGGGGCAATTTGGAAAAGCAATGAATTGCTGAAGATCTCTTGTAGTTCACTTTTCAACTTGCCAAGTTTGCTTTCGTTGAGTACCTTTCATGTTCTGGACACCCGGAGATACAGAGGGAGAACAAAGAGCCCATGCCTTAGGCGTAGGCTGAGAGCAAAGGGAATTACCTAAGTGACCTTTCTCAGGGGTCTTCAAGCCACGCCTAGTTCAGCTCTTAACAGACATGCATGTCCGTTGAATAGAGTCTGAAACATACTGACTCATTCTGGTGAGTCAGGACCGTGGTTTTTATTGTCTAGGCAGTTGCCAAGCCTCCCTGCTAGGTCACTTGGTTCTATTCTTGTCCCGTTATGGTCCATTCTCACACAGTCATCCTTGGCCTTGGACGCCAAGGTGGGTGTGGGGATGGAGAGGACGGACAAGTCCTGATCTTGGCCTGTGAAGCTCTCAGATGGCCAGAGAACCGAGCCCTGAGACCAAACAGATCTGCTGCCTGTGTCTCCTAAAAAGCAAAGTCACAGAAGAGAAGCGCCATGAAGGTGGTGGTCAGTAAATGGGCTCTGCTTTTTCTCCAAACATGGTCATTAGAAATTCTTAAAGGCTGATGTGTCCGGCATCCACACGTCCCCGTCATTGGCTTTAAGTGCTAAAAGGTCTGTCGTGTCCTCTCTCCACCACCCACGGAAGTCCTCACAGCCTTCGTACACTTTCATTTCAGTTGCCGCAAGTCCGTCTGCAGCTCGAGAGTTCACTGTCGATGTTGAGATCGCTTTGGAAAATGCCTCCTTCCTGGAGCCCATCAAAGCTTACTTGAACAACCTCAGTTTTCCAATTCAAGGGAATGACACTGACCCAGCCACCAACATCCTGAGCATCGAGGTGACAGCAGGTGAGTAAAAGACCCATTTCTGGAAATAGGAGGACTGGGTCTAACAGGAGAAAGGCTGGCTGAGCTCCTTACTCTTAGAGCAGGTTACCCTTGGTGGGCAAGTGAAATGGCCCTAGCAGCCTGAGGTGTGATTTGATGATTTCACCGCCTT